GTTAACACTGATTGCAAATGAAGTTGAGAGAAAAGAAAAGCCAAAAAATAACCCTGAGCGTTTAACTAGGATTGCATGCTTACTCAGAGTACGTCTGGGGCGTGAAAGCGTGGTCGTGCGAAACCTTCATAAACAGCTACAAGCTGAAAGAGACGCTAACAAAAACAGGGATGATACCCTCGCAACTGCTGATGCTGACGAGATCAGAGAATTGCGTGAGGAAAACTCAAGTCTCCGAGAGAGAATTGAGAAAGAAGCTGAACAGTGTGAAAACCTTAGATCTGATCTAGATCTGGCTTCTTACGGACTCCAGCAAGCTAAAAATGAGCTGGAAAATCAAATGCACATGAACGCAATAAGTTGGGATTTTACAAGTGGAACAAAGACTGTTATGTGGTATATTTAGTTGTTTCTTTTAAGTACTTTAAGAACCTCTGCTGAATTTTACTTCAAATTATTTTTATTCAGTCCAATTTTACCTCTTTCTATTCTGTTGGAGTAGTTAAATCCAGGTCAAAAAGTCATTTGTTGAACAAAAATGTGTCTTTCTTCACATGCATTTGAAAAGATAAATGAGCTCATAACTCCCTTCACTATGTGCAAAGTCTGAATTAATTACCTGATTACCGTGTGTCTACTTCAGAGCTGTGCCTTATTCAAAAAGCAACAAACATAAAGATGCAGAAAAAAAAGTTTATGCTTGATAAAGTGGAAATGACTTTTTCTCTGAACAGGGATAAAGATCAGAGGAAGCTCACTATCAGTTTGCATCATGACCTTTCTGTCTCGTCAAAATGACAAATGATAAAAGATCATCCAGATTTCTGCACATCTGCTGGCATTTTAACAAAAGGACATCACACAATGTGAACATCAAAGCATACACAGCCACTGATTTTTTTAATTCATTACTCATTTGTACTTCGAATGAATAATGTAGGTTTTGTTTGATGAGTCACAACCACATTTTCTGTATTAATTTAAAAAACCACAGTTTTGACAAAAGAAAATCTTCCGACATAAAAAGTATGTACACACAAAAGTACATTATTACAAATTATCACAAATCTAAAAACTGCAGTGTACTCACCTTCAGGAAATCAGATTTATGTGGAATTTCTAATCATAAATAAAAAGAAAATAACATTTATTTCTTTGTTTAAACATGGATGCTTGAGGCTTTTTGAACTACTTTGGGCAGGGCCGGATTAACACTTCGCTGTACCCTGGGCAACAATATTCAAGGGCCCAATCATCACGACCCAGGATTACCATAGTTTGGCAAAATTCAGAGTAAATGATTGCAATTCAAATTCAATTCAAAAATACTTTATTGATCCCAGAGGGAAATTAGGTGAATATATAGTAAATATACTCAATACTTCAAATTCTAAGTGTATTTTGATGCATAAATGCTCACAGAACTACAAATACACTACTATGTCCTCTTTTCAATGATACTCCTTCACATGATGCTATGAAAACAAAACATCAGTATAATCTGGTAAACATGACCCACTACATTGAGATCGAGCAAAGTGTCCTACAATTTCACAAAAGCGACGCTTGACAT